AACCAGGCCGATAAGGGAGGGCAATTAGGGGCAACAGGGCCAGCAGGGGAGGGCAGTTGGGGGTTATCAGGCTGGCAGGGGAACAGTTAGGCATTGATCAGACTGGCAGGAAGGCAAGTGGTTGGGATCATGAGATACATTCACTGGCAGCAGACAGAGCTCCCTAAGGTCCTGGGTAGGAATGAACATCAACTACACATAGCAGTAACCCACTCCTTAAGGCATCCTGTAACTGGGTTTCTCCTTTTCTGTCTCATTTCCCCACTCCCCCATCTGCCTGAGCTCACTTTCCAGATAAACTACTTGCACATTAATTCTTCTCTCAGGGACTCTTGGAAGAACCCAATTTAAGACATCTTGTGACCATGCAGATGAAAGCCAGTTACTAAGGATGGAGAAAAATCTAGAAGGAGCCTGTGTTCTGAGACTTGAGCCCCCCTATACTGGCCTTGTTCTATATTCCTCTGAACTTTTTATTGGAGAAAAACAAACCTCTTATTTGAGTAATCTACTACAATTGAGTTTCTACAGCATGCAGTCAAATGCACTTATAACTGAGAGGGATCTGGAGAAATTTTGGGTGGAGTACATATGCAACCAGTTTTCAGCTGGACATGACTGCTAGCAGAGCTGACACTGATGATTGATCCTACACTGTGTGGCATGGTACAGCTAGTACCCTGTTTTGTTGCTGTATTTAATCTTCACATTAATTTGTGAGATAGGTGTTATCAATCCCATTTTACTAAAGTCCAGAGGCCAAGTCCTGTGGTGGCAAGTGAAATCAAAACTCCAAAGCAGTGAACTTTTACCGCAGAGAGATATGGGCTGGGTTTTCAGTCTAAGGAGTCTGTGGCATTTAAGTAATGAGTCACAGCTCAATTGCCTTTGCTTGTCTTCTGAGATCCTGTGCTTTCCAATCATCATCCTTTACTCCTAATTGGGCTACAGTTGCTTGCTTCTAACAGAGCTACCCCTTTCAACAGCCAAATCTCATCACAAACTTTATTAACCAGTCCTATGTAGGTCTGTGTCAAGGTCTGGCCTTTTCCAGGAATGCCTTACTTCAGAATGGGAAACTGCTGCATTTGGGCCCAGTTGGATGGTCTGCTAACTGTGTCCTCGTGGTAAATGTGGACAGGACACCCACGTAAGAATCAAAGCACGAAAATACAAATGCTTAGCAAATATTTGTAAAATCACAATGGGTAGCCACGGTGGCATCCAACTTGAATCCAAACTCACTCCTGTTTAAATTAAAATCATTAGCATCAAATTCCAAGACACATAAAAATGAATATATATGCTACAGAAGATTTCAGACAAATAAAATGTAATACATTAAACATTTAATATTTTACATTTAAGGATGACTTTTTCTTAAAAAAGGACAAAATTATAATGTAAATATTCAATGAAATGGTGACCATTTAAACATTATCTGAATCATCTATATGTATAAAAGCCCAAACGACCATTATGACTGAACAACCGACAGGTCACTATGATGTGCATTGAGCACCAGGGGACAGACGCTCAATGCAGAAGCTGCTCCCTTGTGGTCAGTGCTCTCCCATAGCCAACCTCCTGTGGCCAGCCAACCTCCCACAGTCCCTCTTTTCAGTCAGCCAGCCAACCTCCTATGGTTCCTCCCCCCCGCCAGCCAGCTGATTGCTGGCCAGGCTGAGGGACCCCACCCGCGCACAAATTCATGCATCAGACCTCTAGTATAAGGTGACCAGACGTCCCGATTTTTAACAATTTGTCCCGCATTCCACAGCATTTTAAAAAAGTCCTGATTTTTGGGAAGAATCTTTTAAGTCTTTTGGACTTTTTAAAAATGCCACGGGACCCGGGACAAATTGTTAAAAATCGGGACTGTCCTGCCAAAAGCGGATGTCTGGTCACCTTACTCTAGTACCAAATAATACTCATTTTCTTTTATGGACTGTGTTAAAAACTGACAAGTTTATGTAGAAGGCTGAGCATTTTCAACTTTACTGGCCTAGATTAGAAGAGTTTGTGTTCTCTTACTGGTGATTTGGGAAACAAAATACACTTGTGTTGTAACTGCTGGTGTGTGGAGACAAGGTTGGCTGGACTCTGGAAAACGGGCATGCCATGCTCCCATGCCACTCTGGGACACAGGAGACAAAGACTGATCTCTGGTGAGACCATATGCAGGGCATGGAGAGTACTGTACCAAGGGCTTCATGGAGGCTGGAGAACTGAAGGGAAAGCAGTGTGCTTTGACTTTAAAGATGCCTGTCTGTCTGGTTTCAGCTGATAAAAAAAAAAAACAAAAACCTATAAGCATGCTTACATGGCTATTTTTAGAGAATTTATTTCACAGAGCCACTATTTCAGAAAGACAATAAGATTCATTATATATAAGACAAAATTTATAAATGAGATAAATATTTCAAATACATTTTATTGAGTAGAGGCATTTTCACAAACTATAAAATCCAATGAGGCAAAAGGATAATTACATCAGTTATTATCAAAAGACTTTTAGAGTATAGTTTAAGTTCAAAAGGTTAAAGATTTTACAAGAAGATAACATGAGACTATTAATTATATACGATCTTTTGATTAGATACAGAAAATATCAATAAGTATGATTTCCTTTCTCTTGAAAACTAGCTTTAAAAATATTAACTCTGATTAAATTTTGACCTAATTTAATTTCTTATCAATGACACTTGGAATATTCAAAGTAAACTAGTTACTTTGGCCACCAACTTAAGTTACCATTATGCTTCTAAAATAATTTATCCAGGATACACTGGAGTAGCCTGTACTTAATTATTTTATAATATTGTCTAAACTTATAGGTTTTTCCCCCCCAATATTTTCAATATTTTTACAAAGCCCTGTTTTCCATAGCCTTGATCATTAAATATCTACCTTCGGGCTTCAAATACTCATGTCCATTATGGGAACATGAGGGGTAAATTCATTCTCTTTAATGTGACAAGCTACATTCTAAGAAATGCCCCCAGAGATGCTATTTTGGACAAAACTGGGGTACTATGTGACCATCTGAGAAATGTTCAGGGGACAGATCTCAAACAAGGGACTTTAAAAAGTTTTAATTTTTCAAGAGAAACATTCTAGGAAGGGAAGTGTTCTATAACCTAGGGCATGTTCAAGAGCCCGTTCTCATAGCCAAATGTATGGAAGCAGTCTTCTTAAAAGAAATACAGGTCGATGAGCCAAGGCAAGCTTTGGCTAAATGACTGCTAGCTTTTGTTTGGTTCTGAAGGTTTCCATGGAAACAGTCAGAGAGACAGAGAGGGTGTTTTATCATATTCATCCCTAATGCCATCTGATACAACTGCACATGGATTCATTCGTGCCTTCCCAGAGCAGAGGTATTATTTCTGATAAGCCCGAACAAAGGGAAGCATGGGTTCTATCTGGTCACACTTGGGATTTCCTATCTTTCTCCATTTGAAACCTTAAATTAAAATCCAGATAAAACCTCCTCTGAACATTTCCCTCAGGACCCGCTAGTTCAATAATGCTTCAATAATCAGAAGCCAAATGAAGAAAATGTGAAGGACCAAATGCCAAGTTCTTAAAATTATGTGACATCAAGCTTCCTATAGCAAGTAAATTATTCTAAAGAGTATTTTCAATCCATTATGTCAGATCTCAGCCAAGCAAGAAATAGTGCCTTAAGTGTTTATTACACACAATTGAATCAGGTGGCATCACCCATAATTTTTCTCTTTCTTTATATCTTGATTACTTATATGTATGTGTATATACATCTATCTATATATGCATATCTATTTAATATATTTAATATAGTTACATACATCACACACCATAATCTTATCTCATTTCAGGTTAGTACATCCCAGAGAGGCTACAAAGGGGCCCTAGCTCAATTCTTTATCTGAAGTATACAAAAATAAAAACCTCAACAACAAAATATAAACAAAACAAACAAGATAAGGAGGCAAGCATGCGACTGTTAGCACCATATTTAAGATCACAGAGAGCAAGAGGGTTGACAGAGATTTGAAGAGGAATCCAGCTCTGGGAATGGGATCCCAAACACAGAACCCTCTTGTCGAGTCCAGTACTTTAAAAAGGGAAAGCCTGAGAAATTCTCTTAACAGAAGTGTCAAAATCCATGATTTACCAGAGACAGATGATTTGACATTGCTTCTTATTCTAAAAGCACTGAAGACGGCATTCCTTAGAAACAAATGGCTCACTTTTAGAAATCAATTGAGAAATCACTGCCAGTTCAATGACACCTCAGTACATTAAAAAGACATGATATATCCCCCCAAAGGACCAATTTACTCATGGAAAGTAGTTTACTAAGTAGCAGTTAGCTCCCTGATATGTGTAACAATTCAGACCTGAGCTACACTGAAAAGATTTTACTAGCACATGCAATTGCATACTCCACAAGGCAAAATGTTCAAAAAACACTCATACCTTTGTGCACTATGGCACTGATGTAGAAATATAACCTACAGAATAAAGTTTCAACTTGGTCCTTTTCACAAAAAGGGACTAAAAGTCCAGAGATGGGCTTATATAGAGATGTGCTAAAGATTTCAGTGGCTTAAAGTGATGGGTAAAAAGTTATAAGGCTAGAAGCACATTATTTAATGCAAATCCCTCATTTTATTGGTAGGAAAACTGAGGCCTCAAGATATAAGTCAGCCCTGACCACTGGAAGAACTGTGACCAGAAGAGAAGCCACGGAACTCTTAGTGTGGTACTTTCCCCATCACTTTTACCTCTCAGGTTCCTTTACATCGTAATGTCTATCAGCTACTCAAGATTGAGGAAAATGAGAAATATCAGATAGGAAAAATGCTGCATTTTTACAAAGATTTTGGCAATCTTGTATATTCTGATATGCTTAATTTGAACAACGGGGAAATCCCAGTCATCTCATGGTAAAAACGTTATGCCCTGCATGAAACAGGTTTCCTATCCCGAGAGCAGTTTTTGTAGGTACTGGGAGCTCACAGCTGGCAGTTTTCATATGGCCCATCTTTGTAGTTAGAGTAGGCCTCTACAGGTCCCATATCGTCAGGTGGGCTAAAATGACAGCTTTCTTGAGAATCTGTACCAATACTTTTGGTTTCTGACTGAAGGTGAACAGAAACCTGAACTGCTATTTCCTGGCCTGGTTCATTCAGAGAACCATCATCTGAATCTCCTCCTGGTGAATTACTCCGTCCCATCTCTGGGTTAATGACATAGATGGCACCTTGAGCATGCAAGGCAGGTCTCTCTTTAATTCTTTCTCCCAAGTCATCAGGGTCATCCATTCGCACAGCCTCAAACATCTCCTCAACAAATGCCCGGCAGTTTAGAATGAGGGGTGGAAGAGGGATGCTTCGTGCCAGTTCTTCTATGTAACGAGCAAACTCCATGGTCTTAAACTGTGTGACTTTGGCGAGCTCCAGAGTCTTAGCCGAGGTGATGATGGGGATGCGTTTTGCAATCTCAAAGGCCTTCTGAAGTTTCTCAGCCCCTTCAGTTCTGAAGAATTCATTGATAGCCTTTTCGGTCTTACGAAGATGGCTGCTCATCATGCAGAGCCGTGTGACATTCAAGATGAGAGTGATTGTAAAGGCAATCAGACAAACAATCATGTAGTAGACACTCATGTCTCCAGAGGTGAAGATAACACGCAGGGTGACAGAGTAGGAGGCACGAATCGGAGACGTGACGAAACATGTATAGAGCCCACGGTCATCAAAGGCTACGTTGGTGATATTCAGGAAGCTATCAGAAACCAACCATTTTCCACCTGATAACCCAACAGAAATAAAAACATTACAGCATAAAGAATATTACCACTAAATATGCCAATATTCCTTTTCTTCATGAGAATATTTTAACTCAACTCATCTATTAGGTTCTGCTATTTGTTTAAATCAGTAAGAAAGGGCAGACTGTTACGTCCAGGGTTAAAATTTAAATAGCCTAGAACTTAAAAGGGAATAAAGATCTTTCCTGCGGACAGTAAAGACTATCATAGCTACCTTTTCACTGCTAAACATTATAAACCTTTCAGGGAGACAGGTCTATATAATACTATCGATACATGACTAATCTTTAAAAAATGTTATATGTATACAAGTATACCTCAGAGATATTGCAGGTTCTGTTCCAGACCACCTAAATAAAGCGAGTGTTGAAATAAAGAAAATCTAATTATTTTGCTGGTGGTCTTGCTTTTCTTTGTAAAAAAAATAAAATAAAATAAAGCAACATATGTGAGGCACAATAAAGCAAAGTACAATAAAACGAGGTGTGCCTGTATGTGACCTACATCACCTATACATTTTCAAGAATATGCCTCAGAAATATAAAACAATGGTTGTTTCTGGATGATGGCTTATGAATAATTTTGATTTTCTTCTTTTAATTTAACTGTGCTTATTTTCGATAATAAATAGACAATTTAATAAATTTGTTCAATTACTAACTGGCTAATGTGACATGCCTTCCACATGTGAATATTTTGTTAGAAAAGATTTAAAAAAATATATATTTTATTGATTATTCAGAGAGAGAAAGGGAGAGAGACAGAGAGCCAGAAATGTCGATGAGAGAGAAACATCGACCAGCTGCCTCCTACACACCCCCACTGGGGATGTGCCCGAAACCAAGGTACATGCCCTTGACCGGAATCGAACCTGGGACCTTTCAGTTCGCAGACCGACGCGCTACCACTGAGCCAAACCGGTTTCGGCTAGAAAAGATTTGTTGATTATATCTTGGCTTTCTGGCAAAAAGTAACTGAAGCACAAGCCAAAAGATATGTCTCACAAGTCAGGGTACATGAGCAGCTTGAAAAGAAGAAAGTTGCCTTTAAGATGCCTGAGCTTCTGTTTTCACCTAAAACATGTCACTTCTCTTCCATATATGAAGGTGTCTTCATTTAGGAAACACGTATACAGAAAAGCAAAGCATACTAACCACTCACCTTGATTCAATGTCCTTTAATAACTTGGCTCTGCCTGCACAATTCTCACATTTCCAATAAATTCTCAGCATACTCTGTCACTTTAATTGTGACAGTCATTCAAAGATGAGATCAATGGGCTAACCCTGACTGTAGGTGTGAGTCCCAGAGGAGGCTGGATGACTGCTTAAGCACCAACCGAATCCTAATCTTCATGATCTCTTTAATCCCCAAGATTCTATGGTTCTGGATTATTTTAGTGGTACTTCAATTAATAAGCACTTTGGATTGTGCACATGTTTTTCACCATCAAAATTTATCTAAATTCTATAGTTATATTTACGAACTATCACTTCACCAACGTAAAAAGAGGAGGAAAATCTGTAGCTATAAAACAGTCATTATTCCTCAAGCTTCTGTCTTCTAAAGTTGGTCTATAAAAAGACTACCCCAGGAATCCAAGGTCTGATGAACTAGTAGTACATAGACTCCAATCATCAACTACTGAGCTATGACCACAATCTAAATTCTCTAGCTCATTTGCTGATAATAGCTCAAGACTTATGAACCTTACACCAGACTGGCATGCTCTTTAAACATCTCTCACTTGAGAGTCATAAAATTTAACAATTTTCTAGAAGTTGTTGAAAGTATCAATGATAGATGTCAGTTTAATGGTTTTCAAAGTAAAGGCAAAATAGGAAAAATAAAACTGCATTTCAATTGGCTGGTCTCAACTTAACCTAAGATTTGTTTATGTAGTCAGTCAGTACTAATCACATTAATTGAATAATGCAAATCTCAGATGCATTTGGTCAGGATCCAACAGACCAAAAGAGGTGAGTCTAGGTCTGCGAGTACAAATGTGGAACCCGAATCATGTTCAAAATACACATTCTGGGCATCACTCTAGAGATTCTAATTAATAGACTTATTTTCTTAAGAAGTTAGTTGAAAATACACTCTTCTAATAATTCAAACACTTCAATTCCTTAGTGGACAGTTACTCGTGTGTAGATGGTTAAAATGTCTAGCATATACGTTAGAAGGAAACATCACTGACTACTTTTCTGTTTCCTACTCTAATGTGAATAACCAAATACCTTTTATAGTCCAAGGGATTAGACCATCTTTCTAGCAAGAAAGATAAGGGGCCTTTTCTAAAAGTGTACCTTCTGAGGATCCTGGATTTAACCTTTATCCCAGTGATTTAAAAAAAATATATATTTTATTGATTTTTTACAGAGAGGAAGGGAGAGAGATAGAGAGCTAGAAACGTCGATGAGAGAGAAACATCGACAAGCTGCTTCCTGCACACCCCCTACCGGGGATGTGCTCGCAACCAATGTACATGCCCTTGAGGGACCTTTCAGTCCCCAGACCGATGCTCTACCGCTGAGCCAAACCGGTTTCGGCTATCCCAGTGATTTTTCATGGTGATTTCTTTTTGAAGTACTTTAACCCATGTGATCTTCAAAAACATCTTCCTAACAGAAAACTAGTTCAGTAAACAGTATTCTGATTAAGATGTGTTTACAGGTCTACAAACAGCAAAATCAAATAATAATCTGTCAAAAGGTAGAGTTTGGTCACATTATTTGTGTGATTTTTAAGATGGAGACACAAAAATTACAAGAGAAACTTTCCTGTTTTCAAGTAAATTAAGTGTATAGGATAGAAAAAAAAAGAGAAAAAAAAGAAGTAGAGGGTGTACAGAGGAGGGTGTACCTCCTCCTCAATGCCCTTCTAATTATCAGAGGCACTTAAAAGTTTTATACAGATCTATAATCATTCAAAACCAACAATCTTGAATTTCCTCTAACATTTTTAGTAACTCATTTTTGAGCAATTTTTAAAAAAAATTATGACAAATTTACTTAAGTCTAGTCAAAATCCTTCTTGTTATATTCACACAGGGCCACCAAACTGTACTATCACACTACAGTCTAGGTCCGTGGTCAGCAAACTGCGGCTCTCGAGCCACATGCGGCTCTTTGGCATCTTGAGTGTGGCTCTTCCACAAAATACCACGGCCTGGGTATTTTGAAGAAGTGGCGTTAGAAGAAGTTTAAAAAATTTGGCTCTCAAAAGAAATTTTAATTGTTATACTGTTGATATTTGGCTCTGCTGACTAATGAGTTTGCCGACCGTGGTCTAGGTGAATGGTCCCCCTGGACCCATGCAGTGCATATGCTGCACAGCTGTATGCAGCAGCCCTGATGAAGCCCACCTTCAACAAAAAAGGAACTCAACTCACCAAGAAGAGTAAAATGAGCTCAGTCATTATATGAACACCTTTTAAATTTATAACTATTCCTTATTTTTTTCTTCTTTTAGCACAGTAATTATTCTTATTTTTTTTTCTTTTTCTGATAGGTATAATAATACTCCAGGCCTTTCAAAAGTTTTCACTATTCACCCTGGTACCTTACCTTTGAGATTTCTTGATGAATATGCTATAAAACCAAGAAGTAACCTTGATTAATTATACCCTAGCATAGTTACCTCTGCCTCTGTCATCCAGTCGCTGTCCTTTTGAGTTGTACCAATGGACATCTTCATAGTGGTTGATTGTGAGAAGACACTCGATTGAAACACTAGTTCCCTCTTTGGCTATGATAACATTATCACCTGAGTTGGAGCCTGCTGAGAGTTCAAAGCTTGGGAAAAATGACATATTGAAAGAACTATGATTTGCTCCCAGTGGGTCCATTTGGTTGAAGCCTCCATCTTCCAAAACAAAAGCAGCTGGCACAATAACACTCACCACTAAAGTGAATAAACAACAATGTGGCTTCATGGGAAAAGGGGAGACAATCTTATTTAGACTTGGAGAACTGGAAAGTTTCTATGCTGTAATGAGAGTACAGCGATAATTTATTGCTTGGTACTGGAGTTTTCCAGAAAAGTAGTAGATCCAAATGTATTTTGAAGTCCTCAAGGTTAAACATGTGAGTGAAGACCAACCTAAAAGAAAACCAGATATAAAGTTTAACCAACAAAGATGCATAGTGGGGTGAAACTCTATATTCTAGACTAAATGAATAGATGAAAACCTGGTAAGAATAACTGGTGCCAACATCTGGGAATGCAATAGAGAGAACACCATCTAAAATCTCACATAGGGATGGTAGAAAGAGCATCAAATTGGGAAATGGCAGACCTAGATTCTGGTCCTAGTTTTGCTACAAACTACTGTCTGAGCTTGGTAAGTAGCTGGGCTTGTTTTCTTATCTGCAAATAAGGGACCAAATAAGACAATTTTTAAAAACTCTACTAGTTGTGAAATGTTACGGTTCTATTTCTGACAAATTCTATGCAATAGGGAACCAATGAAAGCTAAAATATTTAGCTTAATGGTCTTTCTTTCCAAATTGTACCATTACCATGTATTGTTATAATAATAATATAAATCAACTGGTATAATCATAACCTTGGAACTCAAAATTTGAGTAGTTCAAGTACATAGATATATATAAGTAAAGCAGAGACAGTTGGAGTAGTTCTTTTGTTTTAATATTAGAAAGAAAATTGTACTACTGTATATAAATATACATATACTAACTTGGGAGGTTATAACACCCTTGGCTAAAAATGTTAGACAAAATAATTCCCTTTAATAGTTTCTTCAATATCAAGGGACAAAATACAGTACACATTTAACAGTTTGTAAGAACACCAAATTTCTAGCTCAAAGTCTGTAAAATTAGCTAAGGGAGAAATTGACATTTTAAATGACTAGTTGGCAGAAATGCAAATATAAACTACAGGGAAAGCTTACCAAACAAATTTGAAAGAAAAGTATAATATCACAAATAATAAGCAAAATGATATCTCAGTCTAAGAGTGTGTGTGATTATGATCATTGTCCTGGTAATGTGATTCCTCTTTTAAATCATTGACTCCCAAAGAAAAATTTCAACTCTTATTTCTATAAAATATGAGATGAAACACCTAACTTTATTTTTTACAAGGGTCCAAAAGAATTAGTTTTGAAAATGACATTTTCTCTCCTTTTACACTTTCATGAAGGCTTCTTCATCATCTATAATAAAAAGCATAATATGTTGAAACCGATTTGGCTCAGTGGATAGAGCATTGGTCTGCGGACTGAAAGGTCCCAGGTTCGATTCTGGTCAAGGGCATGTACATTGGTTGCGGGCACATCACCAGTGGGGGGTGTGCAGGAGGCAGCTGATCGATGTTTCTCTCTCATCGATGTTTCTGGCTATCTATCCCTTTCCCTTCCTCTCTGTGAAAAATCAATAAAATATATTTTAAAAAAATAAAAAATAAAAATAAAAGCATAATATGCTAATTAGAGTGGACATTCTTCCAGACGAAGCTGGGGCTGAGAGGGAAGCCTGGGTCCTGGGTGCCTGCAGGTGGCCGGAGGAAAGCCTGGTCCCAGGTGCCAGAAGCCAATGCCGGCAGCTGCAGGAAGACCTACTTTTACATGAATTTTGTGCATTGGGCCTCTAAGTATAACATAAAAAGCAATGGATCATTGTATTTTGCCAATAAACTCCTCAAAGTCTGAATTATGATACACTATAAATGTCATTTAATTTTCATTAGCCCTTGAAAGGATGGTTGAATAATGAAAATGACTCTGTATCTTTCTATATCTTTCAAATTTAAGAACACACTATTTAGAGTAAAACAAAAAACTTCAGACTTTGTTATAACAGATGGAACACATGTGTTTTTTTTTCATTTCCTCCCCAAACCCAACTAAAATGACACTAAAGGAAACAAAGCACTTGGGTGCAGGTGTTCCCCACGACTTTGATGAGGTGTTCCTGTGGCTTCATCCAAGCCAACATTTCCCAAATCTCATGCATTTCTTCTTCTGCCATAATTTTTATGCTATATCCGTTTACCAAGTTATTATTTATGCTTTTTCTTTAAACCAACTCATTATTTTACTTTCATACATTTATTTTAGAAGGAAAGTCTGTATCACATCTGTGGATAAAAGTAACTGTACACATAAACACCATAAAAACAAGGCAAGGTTATTAACTTGCAGAGACACTGCCATCTGCTGAAGGCTCCGAGCCAGAGGCCTGCTCTCTTTATAGGGAAAACAAACAAAACAAATAACCCCCCATAACGTCACTTTATGCTGCATTTCTTATCTTGCCATTTCCTTCCTCCCCACCCTTGCCCACCACTGAGTTTAGAACCTATTTTAGACTAGAGATATGCATTTTTTTTCATGTATTCAATAGTACCTACTGTACTATAGACATGGTCTCTGCCTTCATGGAGCTCAGTCTGCTAGAGGACATAGACACTAACTAAATATACACAAAATATACTAAATGCTACCTACGGGAAAGGATAGGGTGCTCCAGGAGAATTAACCTCAGTGCAGAAAGCCTCTCTGAGAAAGTGAGATGTACAACAGGTTCTGAGGAATAAACAGAATTCAAGAATGGAAGAGAAGTGTTCTAGGTAAAGGGGCAGAGACAGGGGAAAAGCAGATGGATCACTGGTTAGGCAGTATTCAGAAATAAGAGTAACAAGCTGTGGTAAGGAGAGGTGGTGGCCAAAGAGTGCTGGGTTGGATTCCTGATTCTAGAGAGGTGCCATCTAGGCCAACAGCTAAGTTGGCAGTGGACTTGGGGAACTGGAGTGTGAGGCTGAAGTGAGTGAAGAAGATAATTGTTCAAGACGAAGAGGCCAAAGAACTGAGAGACTCAAGAGTAAGGTAAATCATCTGCAGGATGACCTCCACAAATCAAGGCAGCTAGGGTAGAAGACACCGGGAATAGGAGAAATGGACTCTCTCCTAGCTCTTGAAATGCAGGAGCTCCTGGGTGATCAACAGTGGCCCCATGGGGGAGGGGGGGCAGGGAAACACAGTGTCCTGGCAGTTACTGTTGTGTGGAGTCCCTTCTTCATGCAGCCTCCCTGAGCCTCCTCTCAAAGCCTAGCTCTTCTTCCCACATGGATCCAGCGTATACCTGGATACAGGACGGCTCTTCCTGGACCCCTGTAACCTTCACCACTATACTACTCTCCTGGCTCTAGCACATGCTGCTCTGTACCGCTAGGCTGTCCACCCCATCTCACCTATGAGCACTGTAAGCACAGAGACTATATTTTTTATTGCTATCCTTCATAACTAGTACATGCTCAATAACTATTTAGTGATGGAGATTAGTTTAAATTTGATAAAGTATGTGATGGATCTTTGTAAATTCAAGAATATTATATAATAGGGATCATAAATATTCAAACTGATATGAATTTACTAACTAGCACTTATTCTATTCTTTGACACAAAGAGACAATGCTAACAATCTTGAAAAAACTTAAAGGCATAATGCCTAAAGGTGTTCCTTGAACCAAGCCAAAGTCTTCATTTACTATCTTGTTCTAGAATAAAAGATTACCAAGTCCAGAGTTTTCAAACCAGGTTGAATATTACAATCATCTAGAGAACTTGTGAAAATATAGATTACTGATCTCATCCCAGAATAAGAATCCCTTGGAACTTATGTTTTTAAATGAGCTCTTGAGTGATTCTGAGGCAGAGGGTCCATGGGCTGGCATCCAAAGACCACTAATTTACATCCTTATTTCCTCTACACCAGCCCCGCTTAATTGTGCTCCAGACTGAACACTTCCAATATGAGACAACTAGCACTCACATTCCATTTGAATTACGATTTCCCTGAAATATCATGACTGCAGGCCTCTGATAAAGGCAGGGTAGCAGAGAAGTTCAAAGTACAGACCCTGGAGCCAGATTTCCTGGATTCCAATCCTGGCTCTATTTTTAACTAGCCTTGTAACTTTTGTTAATGACTTAACCTCTCTCTGCCTCAGTCCTCTTATCTTTAATATAGGGAAAATAATAGTATGTATTCTCATAGGACTATTGTGAGATCTGCACGAGACAATATATATATGTATACACACACACACACACTGCATATGTATATATGTAATAGAGTCTGACAATAGTAATCATTGAATAAGCTCCAGTTATTATTACTGTTGACAGTCCTTTCAGATATTGTGCTAAAATCTATACTTTATCACAAAAAACTATTAGTTAAGATAAAGAAAACACATTTTTACTTAGAATAACACCAACTGTTTAAAAAACTTGGGGGAGGGGAATTCCAGAATTCCATATGTAATTTCAATCTTTAATTTTAAATTTCACATATTTCTTTTTCTCACTGCAAATAAGTATTTCACAAAAATATGGATCAAACAGGCATTGTAAACTAACCTGGGACTCCAACCACAATATGCTAACATTGTTTTTATGTGTCCTGAGTGTGTGGTAGAGAACCTTTGCAACAATCTACCTGGCCTATGTTTCCCTTTCTTGAATCCTGCCTTCTCACGCCCAGGGAAAGCCAACCCACTGGCTGACTAATCTAATTAGAATCTGTTCTTGGAATTGAGACATCATGGGTCAGGGCTATTTGAGGAAGAGACGGAGTATAGGGGGCTAAGGCAGCTAGGTTTGGACCACATACAAAGAGAAGCAGAGAGAAAGGACACTAGGGATGGAGAAGGGAAAGAGGTGGCAGAGAGGAGCAGAGAGGCGGAGAAAGAAAGACTCATACCCTCTGTTCTGGCTCCTGACACAGTTCTACTTCCTGGTTCCAATAAGACTGTTTATCTCTCCCCTAAAGAAACAAGCATCTTTATTTAACTTTATTCAAAATTAAAACCACAAAAATATAGACTGAATGTGCAAACAAGGAAAGAAAATGGAGAAATAGCTAGAAAGAGGAAAAAAAAAAAAAGATTAAGTTCAGCCAAAGTGAC